GCGCCTCACGGCTCTCCGAACCTCCGAGCGAAGGTTGCGGTTAGCCTCCTCATTCTCTGACGTGGGATTCTGTAGCCGATGACAGTGGGCCTGTCGCTTTTTATCAACCATCCTGAACACCTCCTCTGTCAGCCAGGGTCTCTGGGGAGGTTTGGACCGCGTACCCAAAGCAGCCATTGCAGCTACATGAGTCACAGTCCTAAACCTCGCCCATTTACCCTCGACATCAGGAGGAGTGGGGGACGATGCCAACCCCAGCCGCAAGCGATGATGAAATTCTCGCTTGCAAATTTCATCAGATAACTGAGACCAGGCCACTTTAGGTTAGAATGGGGTCCTGGGTGTACACCCACCACCGGAGTGGAAGAATGGCAGGCGCATCTTACAGATGACTAGTCGATGGTCAGAGGGCAGATCAGCTCCACGGTAGGTCCTGGTGTCAAGGACTAGGGCTCGCATCCGCTGGTCCGTCACTATGTAGTCCAGCAGATGTTCTTGCTTGGACCCAGCATGCATCCATGATGTTGTGTGGATGCGCCGATGCCGGAACAGCGTGTTGGTAATTACAAGCCCATGGACTGCACGAAAATCTAGCAGCCACCTACCGTTGTTATTGAGCTGATCTGGCCCATGCCCTCCAATCACTCCAGACCAGGTGTCAGCATCATGATCAACTCGGGCATTGAAATCATCCAACAAGATGACTCTATCCCGAGGGGCCACTTTAGCCAGCACCTGTGACAGGAGGTCATAGAAGGCATCTGACTCATCGGCTTTGCCTGCATCCCTCCAAGGATGTTCGTCTTCGGTGGGGGCATAAATAACCACGACCACCACTCCTCGCCTCCGGTTGATGGGAAGGCGAGCCCAAAGTAGCCTGGGGCTTACAGCTTCCCACACCTCACCGCCACGCTCCCACACCCCCTTCATTCTTTTGTTCAAAAGAAGAGCCACACCCTGTTGTTTGGCAGTCTCCTGCCCCGAGTAGAGGACTGTCCACCCCTCATGGTGGCAGGAGCCAGAACCGGTCCACCGGACCTCCTGAATGCCACAGAGATCCAGGCGGTACCGGTCCAGCTCCCGACAGAGGAGTGGCAGCCTCTCCTCTGTAGTGAGCGTTCAAACATTCCACTTGGCCACACGAAGTGGTTTTTCGTTGTTTCTGGAGGAGCCCTGAGGGTAGATATTCAATCTCCTGGCTCCGCCAATTGGGGTTTGGCCAGGAGACGTCATAGACGCCTGTCCCCCCGGGGCCTCCGGCACAAGCTTATTAGTTACATATTTCAGTCGTAGTTTCGTGGTAATTAATTGAAGGTGGAGGGGTTACCAGCCCCTCGCACCCGTCCAGTGCCCCCGTTTAGCCTCTGTGGTGGACACATACGCCATGAGGGGAGGAGCCAATCGGAATTGGCCCTCCCCCCACAGCACTGTCCACGACAGAGTTGCCCGTCCGGCACCGGACGGGTGAGCGTGGTGGTGAGCGTATTGGTGAGTATCCTCACCTCTCTGTCCCCGTCACCCCACGCTCCCGCTGTGTGTCGCAGGGTCATCTGGCGAGCGTTACCGAGATCGTGGTGAGCGTGGTGGTGAGCGTGGTGGTGAGCGTGGGAGTGAGCGTGGTGGTGAGCGTGGTGGTGAGCGTGGGAGTGAGCGTGGTGGTGAGCGGGGTGGTGAGCGTGGGAGTGAGCGTGGGAGTGAGCGTGGGAAGTGGTCGGAACGCAGCCGTCGCTCGGAGACTCGGGAGGAACCACTCACCCCTCGGCAGAGACCGAAAGGTGAGCTCACCACTCCTCACCCACTCGCTCACCACTCCTCACCCACTCGCTCCTCACCCACACACTCCTCACCAACTCGCTCCTCACCCACACGCTCACTCACCCACACACTCACTCACCCACACACTCCTCACCCACACACTCACTCACCCACTCCTCACCCACTCACTCCTCACCCACACACTCACTCACCCACACACTCCTCACCCACACGCTCCTCACCCACACACTCCTCACCCACTCGCTCCTCACCCACACACTCCTCACCCACACACTCACTCACCCACACACTCCTCACCCACACACTCACTCACCCACTCCTCACCCAGACACTCCTCACCCGCACACTCCTCACCCACACACTCCTCACCCACTCGCTCCTCACCCACTCACTCCTCACCCTCACACTCACTCGCCCACACGCTCCTCACCCACACGCTCCTCACCCACACACTCACTCACCCACACGCTCCTCACCCACACACTCCTCACCCACACGCTCCTCACCCACAGACTCCTCACCCACTCGCTCCTCACCCACACACTCCTCACCCACACGCTCCTCACCCACACACTCCTCACCCACACGCTCCTCACCCACACACTCCTCACCCACACACTCCTCACCCACACACTCACCCACACACTCCTCACCCACACACTCCTCACCCACACGCTCCTCACCCACACACTCCTCACCCACTCACTCCCCACCCACACACTCCCCACCCACACGCTCACTCACCCACACACTCACTCACCCACACACTCCTCACCCACATGCTCCTCACCCACCTACCACCTCAGCCATGTTGATGATGATGTTGATGATGTTGATCATATTGTTGATGTTGTGGATGTTTTGATGTAGTGGATGTTATTTATGTTGATGTTGATGATTATGTTGATGTTGTTCATGTTGTTGATGTTGGCATTGTTGATGTTGTTTGAGTTTGTTGACATTGATTTTGTTGATATTTATGTTGTTGATGTTGTTGACGTTGTTGACATTGAGGATGTTATTGATGTTATTGATGTTGTTGACATTGTTGTTGTTGACATTGTTGTTGTTGACGTTGATGTTGACATTGTTGTTGATGTTGACATTGTTGTTGATGTTGTTGTTGATATTGTTGATGTTGACATTGTTGTTGTTGACGTTGTTGTTGACATTGTTGATGTTGACATTGTTGTTGTTGACGTTGATGTTGTTGTTGACATTGTTGATGTTGACATTGTTGTTGTTGACGTTGATGTTGTTGATGTTGTTGACATTGTTGATGTTGACATTGTTGTTGTTGACGTTGACATTGTTGATGTTGACATTGTTTTTGACATTGTTGGTGACATTGTTGTTGACGTTGTTGACATTGTTGTTGTTGACGTTGTTGTTGACATTGTTGTTGTTGACGTTGTTGACGTTGTTGATGTTGACATTGTTGGTGACATTGTTATTGACGTTGTTGACATTGTTGTTGTTGACGTTGTTGACATTGTTGTTGTTGACGTTGTTGTTGACGTTGTTGTTGACGTTGTTGACGTTGACATTGTTGTTGATGTTGACATTGTTGTTGACGTTGATGTTGTTGATGTTGTTGTTGACATTGTTGATGTTGACATTGTTTTTGACATTGTTGGTGACATTGTTGTTGACGTTGTTGACATTGTTGTTGTTGACGTTGTTGTTGAGTGTTGACGTTGTTGTTGTTGTTGACGTTGTTGTTGTTGTTGACGTTGTTGTTGACATTGTTGTTGACGTTGTTGCAGGCTCCCTGACACCGTCCGGAGCTGGCTGGGACGAGGAGGAGGATGGTGGTGGTGGTGGTGGTGGTGGCGGTGGTGGTGGTGGTGGTGGCGGTGGTGGCGGTGGTGGTGGTGGTGGTGGTGGCCGTCTCCGCCGCTCCCAGTGGGACTCACCCTCACCAGCTCCATCGCAGCACCTCCGCTCCTCACCCTCCTCACCCTCCTCACCCTCCTCACCACGGCATGGCGACAGGTGGCTCACCAGCTCACCCTCACCAGCTCACCCTCACCCTCAACCGCTCCCCTCACCAGCTCACCCTCAGCAGCTCACCCTCACCAGCTCACCCTCACCAGCTCACCCTCACCAGCTCACCCTCAGCAGCTCACCCTCACCAGCTCCCCTCACCCTCACCAGCTCCCCTCACCAGCTCCTTGCTTACTCTCACTGCTCCTGAGCGAGTGGGTGGATTGGTGGGTGGGTGGATTGGTGGGTGGGTGGATTGGTGGGTGGATTGGTGGGTGGGTGGATAGGCAGGTGGGTGGGTGGATAGGTGGGTGGGTGAGTGGGTGGATAGGTGGGTGGGTGAGTGGGTGGATAGGTGGGTGGTTGAGTGGGTGGATAGGTGGGTGGGTGAGTGGGTGGATAGGTGGGTGGGTGAGTGGGTGGATAGGTGGGTGAGTGGGTGGGTGGATAGGTGGGTGGTTGAGTGGGTGGGTGAGTGGGTGGATAGGTGGGTGGGTGGGTGGATAGGTGGGTGAGTGGGTGGATGGGTAGGTGGGTGAGTGGGTGGATAGGTGGGTGAGTGGGTGGATTGGTGGATGGGTGGATGGGCAGGTGGGTGGGTGGATAGGTGGGTGAGTGGGTGGGTGGATAGGTGGGTGAGTGGGTGGATAGGCAGGTGGGTGGGTGGATAGGTGGATGGGTGACTGGGTGGATAGGTGGGTGAGTGGGTGGATTGGTGGGTGGGTGGATAGGCAGGTGAGTGGGTGGATAGGTGGGTGGGGTGGATTGTTGGGTGAGCTGCTCCCTGATATTGCTGCTGTGTGGTTGTGGTAGTTGTGGTGATTGTTGTTGTTGTTGTTGTGGTGGTGGTTGTGGTGATTGTTGTTGTTGTTGCGGTGGTGGTGGTGGTAGTTGTGGTGGTTGTGGTGATTGTTGTTGTGGTGGTTGTGGCAGGAGTTGCAGGTCGCGGGCCGTTGCAGATGAGAGTCCCCTGGGCACGCCGTCCTACAAATACAATGCCTGGGCCTCCAACAGGCTGCACCTGGGGGCCACACCTCGCTTGCGGAGCGCCACACACGGTCTCAACGCAACCACCACCGCAGCAACCACCACCACAACCACCACAACCACCGCAACTACCACCACAGCAACCACCGCAACCACCACCGCAGCAACCACTACCACCACCACTACTACCACAATCACCGCAACCACCGATACTACAACTACCGCAACCACCACCGCAGCAACCACCACCACAACCACCACAACCACGCAGGAGCACCGTCAGTGAGCAGCTCACTCACCACTCACCACCCTTCCACCCATCCACCCTCCCACCTATCCACCCACTCACCCACCCACCTATCCACTCACCCACCCACCCACCTATCCACTCACCCACCCACCTATCCACCCACTCACCCACCCACCTATCCACTCACCCACCCACCTATCCACTCACCCACCCACCTATCTACTCACCCACACATCTATCCACCTACCCACCCACCTATCCACTCACCCACACACCTATCCACCCACTCACCCACCCACCTATCCACTCACCCACCCACCTATCCACTCACCCACACATCTATCCACCTACCCACCCACCTATCCACTCACCCACACACCTATCCACCCGCTCACCCACCCACCTATCCACCCACTCACCCACCTATCCACCCACTCACCCACCCACCTATCCACCCACCCACCTGCCTATCCACCCACTCACCCACCAACCAACCTATCCACCCACTCACCCACCAACCAACCTATCCACTCACTCACCCACCAACCAACCTATCCACTCACCCACCCACCTATCCACTCACCCACCCACCTATCCACCCACTCACCCACCTATCCACCCACTCACCCACCAACCCACCTATCCACCCACTCACCCACCTATCCACCCACTCACCCACCAACCCACCTATCCACTCACTCACCCACCAACCAACCTATCCACTCACCCACCCACCAATCCACTCACCCACCCACCTATCGGCTCACCCACCCACCTATCCACCCATTTGGAGTCTGCGTCTCTCTCATCATCATCATCACGGTGGCTAGGAGATGTTGACTACCTCGCCTAGTACACAGGAGGTCGTGGGTTCAATCCAGAACCCTGCAGTATATTTGGAGTCTCCGTCTCTTTCATCATCATCATCATGGTGGCTATGAGATGTTGACTACCTCGCCTGGTACACAGGAGGACGTGGGTTCGATCCCAGACCCCGACACCATGGTGGCCAGGAGATGTTGACTACCTCGCCTGGTACACTGGAGGTTGTGGGTTCGATCCCAGACCCTGACACCACGGTGGCTATGAGATGTTGACTACCTCGCCTGGTATACAGGAGGTCGTGGGTTCGATCCCAGATCCCGACACCACGGTGGCCAGGAGATGTTGCCTATCTCGCCAGGTACGCAGGAGGTCGTGGGTTCGATCCCAGACCCCGACACCTGTACGTGTGGAGTCTGCGTCTCTCTCTCTCTCTCCCCGTGGTTGCGTGGATTTCGCTGCTATGAATGTCCACGTGGTGGTGACGATGATGACGATGCTCAGCCACTCGGGTGAGCTGCTGTGATGTTGTGATAGCCCAGCTCGCTTCTGAACGAAGAGCCACAGCGGGGAGCCCTACTCCCTGGTACATTAAAGCAGAGTTTTGTTTGGGCCTCTGTGGTACTCTATATGGGTGTCTATGAACGTCTATGGGTCTCTGTGCATCTCTGTGAGTCTCTCTGTGTCTCTAGGTGTCTGTATGGGTCTCTATGCATCTCTGTGAGTCTCTGTGTATCTCTATGAGTCTTTCTGTGTCTCTAGGAGTCTGTATGGGTCTCTATGAATCTCTATGGGTCTCTGTATCTCTATGAGTCTCTCTGTGGCTCTAGGAGTCTGTATGGGTCTCTATGAATCTCTATGGGTCTCTGTGTATCTCTATGGGTCTCTGTGTATCTCTATGGGTCTCTGTGTATCTCTATGGGTCTCTATGCATCTCTGTGAGTCTCTGTACATCTCTATGGGTCTGTGTATCTCTGTGAGTCTCTCTGTGGCTCTAGGAGTCTGTATGGGTCTCTATGAATCTCTATGGGTCTCTGTGTATCTCTATGGGTCTCTGTGTATCTCTAGGAGTCTGTATGGGTCTCTATGTATCTCTATGGGTCTCTGTGAATCTCTATGGGTCTCTGTGAATCTCTATGGGTCTCTGTGTATCTCTATGAGCCTCTCTGTGTCTCTATGAGTTTGTATGGGTCTCTATGATCTCTATGGGTCTCTGTGTATCTCTATGAGTCTCTTTGTTTCTCTAGGAGTCTGTATGGGTCTCTATGAATCTCTATGGGTCTCTGTGAATCTCTATGAGTCTGTGTCTCTAGGAGTCTGTATGGGTCTCTATGAATCTCTATGGGTCTCTATGAATCTCTATGGGTCTGTGTATCTCTATGGGTCTCTGTGTATCTCTATGGGTCTCTGTGTATCTCTATGAGTCTCTATCTCTAGGAGTCTGTATGGGTCTCTATGCATCTCTGTGAGTCTGTGTGTATCTCTATGGGTCTCTGTGTATCTCTATGAGTCTGTGTATCTCTAGGAGTCTGTATGGGTCTCTATGAATCTCTATGGGTCTCTGTGTATCTCTATGGGTCTCTGTGTATCTCTATGGGTCTCTGTGAATCTCTATGAGTCTCTCTGTGTCTCTAGGAGTCTGTATGGGTCTCTATGAATCTCTATGGGTCTCTGGGAATCTCTATGGGTCTCTGTGTATCTCTATGGGTCTCTGTGTATCTCTATGGGTCTCTGTGTATCTCTATGGGTCTCTGTGTATCTCTATGACTCTCTGTATCTCTAGGAGTCTGTATGGGTCTCTATGCATCTCTGTGAGTCTGTGTGTATCTCTATGGGTCTCTGTGTATCTCTATGAGTCTGTGTATCTCTAGGAGTCTGTATGGGTCTCTATGAATCTCTATGGGTCTCTGTGTATCTCTATGGGTCTCTGTGTATCTCTATGGGTCTCTGTGTATCTCTATGAGTCTCTATCTCTAGGAGTCTGTATGGGTCTATGCATCTTTGTGAGTCTGTGTGTATCTCTATGGGTCTCTGTGTATCTCTATGAGTCTCTCTGTATCTCTAGGAGTCTGTATGGGTCTCTATGCATCTCTATGGGTCTCTGTGTATCTCTATGGGTCTGTGTATCTCTATGAGTCTCTGTATCTCTAGGAGTCTGTATGGGTCTCTGAATCTCTATGGGTCTCTGTGTATCTCTATGGGTCTCTGTGTATCTCTATGGGTCTCTGTGTATCTCTATGAGTCTCTGTATCTCTAGGAGTCTGTATGGGTCTCTATGCATCTCTGTGAGTCTCTGTATCTCTATGGGTCTCTGTGTATCTCTATGAGTCTCTGTATCTCTATGAGTCTGTATGGGTCTCTATGCATCTCTGTGAGTCTGTGTGTATCTCTATGGGTCTCTGTGTATCTCTATGAGTCTGTGTATCTCTAGGAGTCTGTATGGGTCTCTATGAATCTCTATGGGTCTCTGTGTATCTCTATGGGTATCTGTGTATCTCTATGGGTCTCTGTGTATCTCTATGAGTCTCTCTGTATCTCTAGGAGTCTGTATGGGTCTCTATGCATCTCTGTGAGTCTGTGTGTATCTCTATGTGTATCTCTGTGCCTCTAGGTGTCTGTATGGGTCTTTGAATCTATATGGGTCTCTGTGTATTTCTATGAGTCTCTCTGTGTCTCTAGGAGTCTGTATGGGTCTCTATGACTCTCTATGGGTCTCTGTGTATCTCTATGAGTCTCTCTGTATCTCTCGGAGTCTGTATGGGTCTCTATGCATCTCTGTGAGTCTGTGTGTATCTCTATGGGTCTCTGTGTATCTCTATGGGTCTCTGTGTATCTCTATGAGTCTCTCTGTATCTCTAGGAGTCTGTATGGGTCTCTATGCATCTCTGTGAGTCTCTGTGTATCTCTATTAACCTCTATGTATCGTCTGCAACTGCGTGCAACCGCTTGTGTGTGTGTGTGTCCGCACAGATGGTGGGCGGGTGTCTCAGCGTGGCGAGGGCGGTGTGGGTGGCATCGTGTTCGACAACGAAGCGGACCGGGCACAGTGGGAGGAGGATCAGAAGGTGACCACACGCTGGTACCACCACCACGCTGACGGTAGCACGCTGGTACCGCGCTGGTACCACCACCACCACGCTGGTACCACCACCACCACGCTGGTACCACGCTGGTACCACCACCACGCTGACGGTAGCACGCTGGTACCGCGCTGGTACTTCCACCACCTCGCTGGTACCACCACCACCACGCTGGTACCACGCTGGTACCACCACCACGCTGACGGTACCACGCTGACGGTACCACGCTGACGGTACCACGCTGGTACCACCACCACCACCATGCTGACACCACGCTGATGGTACCACGCTGGTACCACGCTGGTACCACCACCACCACCACAACGCTGACACCACCACACTGACACCATACTGACACCACGCTGACACCACCACAACCACGCTGACACCACGCTGACACTACCACAACCACGCTGACACCACCACCACCACGCTGACACCACGCTGACGGTACCACGCTGGTACCACGCTGGTACCACCAACATCACCAACACCACCAACACCACCACCAACACCACCACCACCAACACCAACACTACCACCAACATCACCACCACCAACACCACCAACAACACCACCACCACCAACAATACCAACACCACCAACACCACCAACACCACCACCAACACCACCACCAACACCACCAACACTACCACCAACAACACCACCAACAACACCACCACCAACACCACCAACACCACTAACACCACCACCAACACCACCAACAACACCACCACCAACACCACCAACAACACCACCAACACCACCAACAACAACACCACCACCACCAACACCACCACCAACACCACCACCAACACCACCAACACTACCACCAACAACACCACCAACAACACCACCACCAACACCACCAACACCACTAACACCACCACCAACACCACCAACAACACCACCAACAACACCACCAACACCACCACCAACACCACCAACAACACCACCACCACCAACAATACCAACACCACCAACACCACCAACACCACCACCAACACCACCACCAACACCACCAACACTACCACCAACAACACCACCAACAACACCACCACCAACACCACCAACACCACTAACACCACCACCAACACCACCAACAACACCACCACCAACACCACCAACAACACCACCAACACCACCAACAACAACACCACCACCACCAACACCACCACCAACACCACCACCAACACCACCAACACTACCACCAACAACACCACCAACAACACCACCACCAACACCACCAACACCACTAACACCACCACCAACACCACCAACAACACCACCAACAACACCACCAACACCACCACCAACACCACCAACAACACCACCAACACCACCACCACCAACACCACCGGTGATAGCGATTTTTCTGAACCGTTCCTGGGCCTCCCCTAGGTCGACCGGCCTCAAATGAGTAGTAGCTGGTGCGGTGTGCAGCAAACATCGCCACTGGGGAGAGACAAAGGCGGCCGGGCGTGGTGGTGGTGCTGGCCACCCACCCACCCCCCCCTCTGTGTGTGTGTGTGTGGCCACAGTGCTGGTAGCCTCCCCACCTTGCTGTTGCTCCCCGCTAACAGCCCTTGCCCTCCACCCACAGCCTGTCGAAGCTACACAGGGGGTTCTTTGCCCGCGTGTGCGTGCGTGTGTGTGTACGTGTGTACGTGTGTGTGCGCGTGTGTGTGTGCGTGTGTGCGTGTGTGTGTGTGTGTGTGCGTGCGTGCGTGTGCGTGCGTGTGTGTGTGCGTGTGTGTGTGCGTGTGTGTGTACGTGTGTGTGTGTGTGCACACAGCAAGCGGACCGGGAGTGGTACACGCTGGACGAGGGCTATGACGATTCCCGCAACCCGCTGGCAGGAGCCTCAAGCGCTTATGTCCAGCGGCGTGAGCAGCACGCCCAGACCCAGCGGCAGAAACGCGTGTCGGCACAGCGGCGGCAGATCAACGAGGTGACGGGGAGGGTGGGGCACACAGTAGAGAGACCCATAGACTACTCACACAGTAGAGAGACCCACAGACTACTCGCACAGTAGAGACCCACAGACTACTCACACAGTAGAGACCCATAGACTAGTCACGCAGTAGAGAGACCCACAGACTACTCACCCAGTAGAGAGACCCATAGACTAGTCACACAGTAGAGACCCACAGACTACTCACACAGTAGAGACCCACAGACTACTCACACAGTAGAGACCCACAGACTACTCACACAGTAGAGACCCATAGACCACTCACACAGTAGAGACCCATAGACTACTCACACAGTAGAGAGACCCACAGACTACTCACACAGTAGAGACCCACAGACTACTCACACAGTAGAGACCCACAGACTACTCACACAGTAGAGACCCACAGACTACTCACACAGAGACCCACAGACTACTCACACAGTAGAGACCCATAGACTACTCACACAGTAGAGACCCATAGACTACTCACACAGTAGAGACCCACAGACTACTCACACAGTAGAGACCCACAGACTACTCACACAGTAGAGACCCATAGACTACTCACACAGTAGAGACCCACAGACTACTCACACAGTAGAGACCCACAGACTACTCACACAGTAGAGACCCATAGACTACTCACACAGTAGAGACCCACAGACTACTCACACAGTAGAGACCCACAGACTACTCACACAGTAGAGACCCACAGACTACTTGCACACAGTAGAGACCCACAGACTACTCACACAGTAGAGACCCACAGACTACTCACACAGTAGAGACCCACAGACTACTCACACAGTAGAGACCCACAGACTACTCACACAGTAGAGACCCATAGACTACTCACACATTAGAGACCCACAGACTACTCACACAGTAGAGAGACCCACAGACTAGTCACACAGTAGAGACCCACAGACTACTCACACAGTAGAGACCCATAGACTACTCGCACAGAGACCCACAGACTACTCACACAGTAGAGACCCACAGACTACTCACGCAGTAGAGACCCACAGACTACTCACACAGTAGAGACCCACAGACTACTCACACAGTAGAGACCCACAGACTACTCACACAGTAGAGACCCATATACTACTCACACAGTAGAGACCCATAGACTACTCACACAGTATAGACCCACAGACTACTCACACAGTAGAGACCCACAGACTACTCACACAATAGAGACCCACAGACTACTCACACAGCAGAGACCCATAGACTACTCACACAGTAGAGACCCACAGACTACTCACACAGTAGAGACCCACAGACTACTCACACAGTAGACCCACAGACTACTCACACAGTAGAGACCCACAGACTACTCACACAGTAGAGACCCATAGACTACTCACACAGTAGAGACCCACAGACTACTCACACAGTAGAGACCCACAGACTACTCACACAGTAGAGACCCATAGACTACTCACACAGTAGAGACCCACAGACTACTCACACAGTAGAGACCCACAGACTACTCACACAGTAGAGACCCATAGACTACTCACACAGTAGAGACCCACAGACTACTCACACAGTAGAGACCCACAGACTACTCACACAGTAGAGACCCATAGACTACTCACACAGTAGAGACCCATAGACTACTCACACAGTAGAGACCCACTTGACTACTCACACAGTAGAGACCCACAGACTACTCACACAGTAGAGACCCATAGACTACTCACACAGTAGAGACCCACAGACTACTCACACAGTAGAGACCCACAGACTACTCACACAGTAGAGACCCACAGACTACTCACACAGTAGAGACCCATAGACTACTCACACAGAGACCCACAGACTACTCACACAGTAGAGACCCATAGACTACTCACTCACAGTAGAGACCCATAGACTACTCACTCACAGTAGAGACCCACAGACTACTCACACAGTAGAGACCCATAGACTACTCACACAGTAGAGACCCATAGACTACTCACACAGAGACCCAGAGACTACTCACTCACACAGTAGAGACCCATAGACTACTCACACAGACCCATAGACTACTCACACACAGTAGAGACCCACAGACTACTCACACATTAGAGACCCATGGACTACTCACACAGTAGAGACCCACAGACTACTCACACAGGAGAGACCCACAGACTACTCACACAGTAGAGACCCATAGACTACTCACACAGTAGAGACCCACAGACTACTCACACAGTAGAGACCCACAGACTACTCACACAGTAGAGACCCACAGACTACTCACACAGTAGAGACCCACAGACTACTCACACAGTAGAGACCCACAGACTACTCACACAGTAGAGACCCACAGACTACTCACACAGTAGAGACCCACAGACTACTCACACAGTAGAGACCCATAGACTACTCACACAGTAGAGACCCATAGACTACTCACACAGTAGAGACCCATAGACTACTCACACAGTAGAGACCCACAGACTACTCACACAGTAGAGACCCACAGACTACTCACACAGTAGAGACCCACAGACTACTCACACAGTAGAGACCCATAGACTACTCACACAGTAGAGACCCATAGACTACTCACACAGTAGAGACCCACAGACTACTCACACAGTAGAGACCCACAGACTACTCACACAGTAGAGACCCACAGACTACTCACACAGTAGAGACCCACAGACTACTCACACAGTAGAGACCCACAGACTACTCACACAGTAGAGACCCACAGACTACTCACACAGTAGAGACCCACAGACTACTCACACAGTAGAGACCCACAGACTACTCACACAGTAGAGACCCACAGTCTTCTCACACAGTAGAGACCCACAGACTACTCACACAGTAGAGACCCACAGACTACTCACACAGTAGAGACCCACAGACTACTCACACAGTAGAGACCCACTAGACTACTCACACAGTAGAGACCCACAGACTACTCACACAGTAGAGACCCACAGACTACTCACACAGTAGAGACCCACAGACTACTCACACAGTAGAGACCCACAGACTACTCACACAGTAGAGACCCACAGACTACTCACACAGTAGAGACCCACAGACTACTCACACAGTAGAGACCCATAGACTACTCACACAGTAGAGACCCATAGACTACTCACACAGTAGAGACCCACAGACTACTCACACAGTAGAGACCCACAGACTACTCACACAGTAGAGACCCACAGACTACTCACACAGTAGAGACCCATAGACTACTCACACAGTAGAGACCCACAGACTACTCACACAGTAGAGACCCACAGACTACTCACACAGAGACCCACAGACTACTCACACAGTAGAGACCCACAGACTACTCACACAGTAGAGACCCACAGACTACTCACACAGTAGAGACCCACAGACTACTCACAGTAGAGACCCACAGACTACTCACACAGTAGAGACCCATAGACTACTCACACAGTAGAGACCCACAGACTACTCACACAGTAGAGACCCACAGACTACTCACACAGTAGAGACCCACAGACTACTCACACAGTAGAGACCCACAGACTACTCACACAGTAGAGACCCACAGACTACTCACACAGTAGAGACCCACAGACTACTCACACAGTAGAGACCCACAGACTACTCACACAGTAGAGACCCACAGACTACTCACACAGTAGAGACCCATAGACTACTCACACAGTAGAGACCCACAGACTACTCACACAGAGACCCACAGACTACTCACACAGTAGAGACCCACAGACTACTCACACAGTAGAGACCCACAGACTACTCACACAGTAGAGACCCACTAGACTACTCACACAGTAGAGACCCACAGACTACTCACACAGTAGAGACCCACAGACTACTCACACAGTAGAGACCCACAGACTACTCACACAGTAGAGACCCACAGACTACTCACACAGTAGAGACCCACAGACTACTCACACAGTAGAGACCCACAGACTACTCACACAGTAGAGACCCATAGACTACTCACACAGTAGAGACCCATAGACTACTCACACAGTAGAGACCCACAGACTACTCACACAGTAGAGACCCATAGACTACTCACACAGTAGAGACCCATAGACTTGCTCACACAGTAGAGACCCATAGACTACTCACACAGTAGAGACCCATAGACTACTCACACAGTAGAGACCCATAGA